CCACTAGAAGTCCAATCTAGTAGTGAGACCCTGAACACCCTATAGATCCTGTACTAAAAAATACGAAAATAAATAAAAGATAAAAAAGATTTAGCTGAGATCCAAAGGGAGTCACCATGATCATGCAGAGGTGTGGTAAATCAGCTCTTACATACTCTGAGTTTCAGTTTCCACGCTCTAAGTTAGGAATGCCTTGCCCCAAATCACAGAAGTTCATTTCTAAGTGGCAAAGTGTCACACCTCCCCAGCGGCTATCACTTATGATAAAGGCAGGGTGCATAAAGCATCTGTAAATATGGGCATGACCCATGTGTGTCATGGGCAGATAGTTATGGGTCACCTCATACTTGAGCCGTGAGGTAGCAATGGAGTCTGGGAAGGATGTGGCTGGCCACACGTGTAAGCTGAGGCACCATGCTCTGAGACCACACCACAGCACACAGTAGTCTGAAACAGGGAAAGAGACACAGGAATTCTCTCGGCACTTTCTCCAGAAAAAAAAGAACCACCCAGGAACACAGAGCTCATGTCCACAGCACAGTGGAAGTGATGGATCCGCACCTCCCTTTTGCCCTTGCTGAGTGGTTCTAAAACATATTTCCTGAAAACTCCACACACAATCAAATGAGTGGCAGTGGTGACCTCACCAGTAATGCAGCTTTGTTCAAACCTCCTTCTTTCATTCCTGGTTTCACTCCCCTCCTTGTAATTCACAGTCCTATTTGAGGCACCACAAGACTATGTGCGCTAGCACTTTCCAAAAAAGAAGTTGGTTATATATGTTTCAAGTCTGAGAAAATCTGCTTGCATGTAATCTCAGAGTCTGAATTTCTAGTCTTGTGTCGCATTTGCATTTGCATCTCTGATCATCACCCAGGTGTTAGTACTCCTGAAGATCAGGACTCCACATGCACTGCTAATAAGCACAGTACCATGAGTCTGGTATCAATCCAGCCTCTCCAGAGGCTAGATTCTTAATGTGGGGCTGATTTCTCTGTGATTTACAAACTTTCACTTAAGCCTTGCATCCAGTCTGTTCCTTGAGGGTGGTCATCTGGCGTCTCCTTCGTTCTCACCATCACCACTCTGCTACTTGGGAACTGTAAATGAAGTTCACAGTCCTCACCTAATGCCTCACTAGATTAACAAATTTTCTTCATTATCTCTGTTAAATACACCCTTAGTTCAGCTTCCCAGTAATGGAACTAATCATGGGGATTATGAAGCAGTTGAGTCACTGAGAAGAAACTCATAAGAAAGCTGTCAAGGAATAAAGAAGTAGTACAGAGAAAGAAGCCATGTGTTATGGTTTGTGTGTAGCTGTCCCCTCAAAGGCTCATGCAGTTATGGGGTGGACTTCTAGAGCAGGTGATTAGACTTGCTCTCTCTTGCATTGTTGCTGCTCCTTCCTCCTTTTTCTTTTGCTGTTTTGCTGTTTTCTGCCACCTTCTGTGTTCCATTCTGCCTTGGAGCCAGCTGAGTATGGACTGAAACCTCTGCTAATTGTGAGCTGAACAACACAGCCCTGTTCATACTTTCACTGAAGGTCTATCTGTATCTTTACATGAATCAGTCACTGTCTATTGTTTATACCTAGGTGGGATGGACATAGCTTCCCAAGCATCTCAGAGTAAAGGCAAGCCTACAGAAAGAGTGCATTCATAAGTTATGAGCAACCAATATTCACAGAAACTTGGCTTTGGGTGCACCTTCTATAAAATGGACTAAGAAAGGCATGAGCAGAGGCCACTGCTTGGATTGACACCTGCCTATTGACGTGGCTAGAGGTACACCAGGAGTCACAAGGAAATAGTAACTGCCATATGTTTTATTTATTTATTTGCCACAGAGTCTCACTATGCAGCTCAGACTTGTAGTGATCCTCCTGTCTCAGCCTCCTTGGCACTAGGATTACTGGTGTGCACCACCACACGGAGTTTCAGTGGCAGCCATGGCAGGGGCAGGCTCAGCGTGTGGTACCAGGGATCCTTGCACTTGCCAGGCAGGCTCTTAGACCACTGAGCTATCTTCCTAGCTCCTCATAAAGGAACAATTAGTTACAATAAAATGAAATAGAACTTTAATAAATAAATCAGAGAAAATTGACCCCATGAGTGATGGTAATTGGAAAAGACTGAACCCATCTGGTAATCGGCACTAACTAACAGGAAGCTACCCCAGCCCACAGACTGGAGAGACCATGGAGGAAGATGGCATAAAAAATTCAGGACTGCCTGGGAGGTGCTGGGACCATAGAAGAGATGAGAAGAGATGACTTCTGCCAATAAACCTCAAGAGACAAGACACCTGGCTTCTCCCCATCCTTAAGATCTTCAGCTTTCTGCATGTGAAATCCAATTGCACAAATATCTACGGAAACCAGAGAGGAAAAAGGAAGCTGGGACATGTGACTCCTACAGTACACATCAGAGTAGGAAAAGGAGAACAAACAAAGGCAAACTGGCAAATACACAACCACTATGTTACATCTGCACCCCTCTGTTCATACTGAATTCTTTTTTTTTTTTCTGCAGTACTGGGAATTGAACTCAGGACCCTGTGCTTGCCAGGCAAGCACTTATTCTACTGAGTTGTCTCCCTGGCCCCCATACTGAATTCTATGCTTAACACACAGCTGGGATGCAACCATTTCTCACTGCTGTCCTATAGAATAAGCTGGTTTGGGAATACACATATCTCTTTAGATTAAAACAGAAGTAATCAAATTTCTGCCACATCCCAGTCAATGTATAAACTTAATAGAATCAAGGTTATATGTGTCATGTTGTTTCTGTGGCTCAGTGCCTAGTTCTCAAACTGAAAAATACTGACCTGGAAAGCTTCACTCCTCCTGACACCCACTGCCAGCCCCAAATTAGAACTAGGCAAAGGGAAAGAAAAGATTGGAGGATTTTGAAGATAGCATTAGGAATTGAATCCATTCTATGTATAATTTTGGCACTAATTGACTTGTTAGAACACTTCCTTCCTTTGAACTTCCATTGTTTCCCCGTAAATATGACTAAATAATGTCTGATATTTTAAAAATGTTAGCCATCATTTTAAATGTTTTGACAAGCACTAAATAACATAATTAACCACAGGTCCAAACTCAGTTGACACATTTACTTGTGTCTCTATTAATTGTCAGTTTACATCAGCACTGGGGATGACTCTAGAGATAGTCTACGCAAAGGCCATACCAAGGGGCTCAACAAAATGATTATCGGCTTATTAGGAAACAGAAAAAGATGGGCCTCTCAGGTGTTGTTCTCTGCTACTTGCAAATCAATCTTGGGGAGAAAATATCCATCACAGGTTTGCTATGAGTAGAATAATTTCATAGTGTATACATGCTATATGCAGACAATGATCCTTTATTTTTATTTAGTAAAATGAGGAAACTAAGCAATACAATTATGTAAGTGTTCTCATTTCTATATTGCTTTAAAACAATTTGCAAGGTCATAAGATACAATCCTCTGCCAAGTTTCTAGTACATTTTCATGGACAGTAAAAGCATATCTAAGAAATAGTATTTTGTGAAAGTGTATTAATACGTAGCTACCTAAACTTCATTTGTGCTAAAAGTGATGACTGAATATACCTCTTCAATGTTGCATTTAAAACGTTTCTGTTCTCAAGGAGGAATTTATATACTTGAGCAAATGACATTGAGTCAAATATAATAGTAAGTACTTGCATCTTCCCTAAACTCAATTTTTAAATGGTCTCTTGAGCTTCAAATCAGTCTTGCGATGTGCTAGAAGGGCATTCAGTTCTATATCTGCTGAGAAGAGAAATCAAATCTATAATCATAACAAACAAGCAAATTTATTCTCCCTGCCAATATGAATGCGAAATATAGTTCATTTTCAGTGATTAACAACTTTTGAGAATCAGAATTCAGATCATCATACTATAAAAATTTCTCTCGATAATCCAAATGAATTACTCTCACTTGCCAAGAAATTAAAAAAATAACTAAGCCAGCTGATTTTTCCGAACAAGAGGGGAATAATGTGTCATTAACTTCAGCAGAATATGATTGATGAAAATAACACAAGGATATTAACTCTCGGTTTTGATGAATTTTGCCTTCTTCAGGTATTTTTTCCCCTGAAAGCAATTTGTAAAATGTGTAACTGCGTTAGATCCATGCAAAATTCATTTTTCCTATAAGTAAATAACAAAATTGGGGATAAAGTACATTTTTAAGTTAGCCTAGAATTTCTCTGTAACAATATTTTTCTCTGATCTAGGGAAACAGAAGTTATGTGGGAATATAAATCTGGGGAGTTGAGAGGATAAGAAAGGTGAAGTTACTGTCAAAAAAAACACTAAATTGGGCAGGGGAGATAGCTCAGTAGGATAAGTGCTTGCCTGGCAAGTGCAGGGTCCTGAGTTCAATCCCTGGTACCACAAAAAAACAAGTCAATAAATAAATAAATAAGAACACCAAATCAAGCTCAATGGATCTTTATTGGCCAAATCTAGAAAGTTTCAGGACCAAAATAAATGATAATACCAGATTATAAACCAAATAATTTGTAATAATCCATGCATGTATATTGAAATAAATGAATGTTTATTTAATAACTTTTGTTTCTCAAATCGCCCCCAAAGAACTCACATAGATTCCAATCTTCTCAGCAGTTGGAACTTAGTTTATCTCCCCTTGAATGTAAACAATACTAAATTATTAACTTGCAATGACTAGAGTACAAAAAAAGAAAAGGAAAGGAAAGAATTTTGCAATGGAAAAACCTAATCAACATCAACTCAACCAAAAGCCAAATGAATAATCTTTTACCAAGTACCCCTCTATACGTGATGAGAAGGTCACTATATCTATATAGTATTCTGCCACAAAACACATAACCTCATTCTAATCATTAGAAAATTATAAGCTTAAGCCAGGATGGTTTTACAAACTGCATGATGATTATACTTCAAAACTGCCAAGGTCACAAAAACCAAGGGAATACTAAGAAACTTACATCTGGAGAGGACACAGCTACTCAATGTTGCTGTGGTATTCTGAGGTGCTTCCTGGAAAATAGAATGGAATTACTGGAAACACTGTCAAATTGAAATTAAATTTGTAGTGTATTAAATATGTAGTATTGTACCATTGATAATTTAAGTTTTAACATCTGCAACATGAATAAGATATTAACCTGGGGAAGCCTGACAAAATTAACCAGAAATAGTTGTTGCAAAAGTCTAGAGCTTTAAAATTGTTCCAAAGTTTAAAAATTTGAATTACTCAGACTAGAACAAAATTTTTAAGACACAATACATATAAAGAGGTACAATATAGTAAAAATATTTCTTCAAGAATTCTTAAAATACTGGCAAGATGGTGGGATAGAAACAACCAGCACTCACCTGCTCATCTACAAAGAACCAAAGCAATAGGAGTTTAATTGCACAGCGAGCTCAGCCACCCTGGGAGAACATTAGACTTTAATAAGAAAAATAAAAAAGCTTATAAAATCTAGAGAATTTGAATAGCAGCATAGGAAAAGGAAAAAAAATATCCCAACGCCTTCCTTCTTCGGTATGCAGTCAGGAGAGATGTGTCTCCACTCTACGGGTCCAAAGATGAAAGACTGAGTCACAGCAATCTCTGGTGGTGCCAACCCTACGAAATGGACAATTTCACAACCTTTATGGACTTTCACCTCAATAGATAAGAAAGCAGCAATATGTTCAGAAGTCTAGCTTTGGAAAATGAGTTTGCTTTATGTTCCAGAGATAGCCCAGTGTAGCGTAGCTAGAGCCACCTTGAGCAGGGATCCACTGTCAAGGGTCAGAAGCGCCACAAGATGCGCAGATTGCACAACGGACCCTCGATCTAGGCAGTGGAGTAACCCACAGCACATGTGTTCTTGTGTTCTTTTAAGACAGAAGATGTTAATGTATGAAATGTTCTTTCTAAACTAAAACTTCAGTATTCACTTTTAATCACAGTGTTAACATTTTGCAATAAATAGCTGGTTTTTGAGTTGCAGTTTGGCACTCAGGTCTCTGAAAGGTTTGCCATCACAGGAGGGAAACTATTCAAAGCCTAATGTATTCCGCCTCAGAAAACTATACACACACACACACACACAAACACACACACACACACACACACACACACACACCCCTAAATGGTATACACACAAGAATGTGATATTTAATAGATTAAAAAAAAACAAAGGGAAAGAAAGAGAGAAAGGGAGAAAGGTATTGCCCATAGTTTAATTTTCATGCTGAACCAATAACACAGGCTAAGAGAATTAGGCTGAAACAAAGCATGTGACACTCAGCACATCCTGTGATGCGAGCTTGTGGTTGTGATACAATGGGTTATAAGTTTTAAATACACAGGAGGAGGGGAATATTGCACAGAAGTACATCACATACATACTATTAAGCAATTTCACTCTTGCTTATTGAACAAAATGAATAAATGTCACATTCCAAATATACTATACACTATAGTTCAAAAGGGATGGATCTCAGGAACAACATGTAAATGTCCAAAAAACAAAATAAAATTCAACTTTTAATAAAAACAGTTCAAAGAACAAGAGAGTATAAGCCTATATGCTCTAAAAAATAATAGCCAGAATGTATTGATAATAAAATGAGTACTTAAAAGCAGGCCAAACAAAAGAACAAGATGAAAGAGGATTGTAGATCTAAGGGAAAAAAAAAAAAACTATGGGTTAACATTTCTAAAGAGAACAAATACCAATACAGAGACAGTGAAGTACAACAGATACCACTGAAAACCAATTTAGATGGCCCTCAGATGAAAGAAATGAATGCAATCAAATATGCGTAAGTCTCAGAACACAACTAATGCAAAACCTGATGTCAGTAAGTTATCAAAAGGCGCAGCTGACACAAAAGAAAATTTTCCTGAAGTGAAAACAAGATTAGGGGGCCAGGGAGATGGCTCAGTAGAATAAGGGCTTGCCTAGCAAGCACGAGGGCCTAAGTTCAATTCCTGGTTCCACAAAAAAAAAAAAAAAAAAGAAAAAAAAGAAAAGAAAACAAGATTAGGGCTGGCCAAATAGCTCAGCGGATTAAAGTCCCTGCAAGCAGGCACAGGGACCAGGATTTCCAACCCCAGGCCTGCCCCCAGGGCACACTGAGATGACAACTAAAACTGGACTTGGTGGAGGTGCCTGTAATCCCAGCTCTTGGGAGGCTGTAAACAGACATCACTATGACACTGAGACCCTGAACACGCGATAGACTTTTCCTTAAAATACAAAAAAAAAAAAAAAAGAAAGAAAGAAAGAAAGAAAGAAAGAAAGAAAGAAAGAAAGAAAGGAAAAAAAAAAAAGAAAGGAAATTGAATCTGTTTATCAAAAACAAAACAACAAAAATAAACAAAGCCAAAGTTCTGCATGGTGACATAAGCCTGTAATGCCAGCATTTAAGAGGCTGAGGTAGGAGGATAATGGCAAGTTTGAGGTCAACCTGGATTATATAGTGAGCTCTGTTCCAGCCTGAACTACGCAGTGAGATCCTGTCTCAGAATAAAAAAAAAAAAAAAAAAGTCCAAAGTCCATCAGAAGTTAACACAGAATAGGCTCAGAACCACTACATATTCTAATTAAGCAGTTGATGTCAAATAAATATCAGCCAACAAAGAAATGAGGCAATGGTGGAAGAGAAAAAAAAAATAATAACTTTTCCATAGAAAACTGAAGAACTTGCTGATTCCCTGATTGTCTTACTTCCTGTTAGTCTCTGTGGTTGTCATGGAGCCAGCCCAGAACACAAAACACAGCACTACAAATAAATATCTGTATTAAAAGTGAATTCCTGGGCTGGCCAGATAGCTCAGCGGACTAAAGCACCTGGGGGCGCACTGAGATGCACTGAGACTGGGCGTGGTGGTGGCTGCCTGGAATACCAGCACTTGGGAGGCTGAAAATAGGAGTATCATTATGAGTCCGATCTACATAGTGAGACCCTGTAGACCTTGTAGACCCTGTAGACCCTGTCCTAAATTCATTTTTAAAAAAATGAATTCCTTTCCTCTTTCATATTTTGACTTCCAATTGCACAATTCCTTCTTGACTGACATGGCCAGAAATAAAATCAAGAAAGGCTCTGTCCTAAAGTAGCAGCCACTTTTGGTTTTAGAAACCCCTTCTCATAAGCTACTAATGAAGGAAGTGACTCCAGCTTAAAGAAGGGACAAGAAACAAAAACTGAAAAATGAATTCACAAAAGTTTATTACTTCCTTGAATAAAACAGAATATCCCAGACTGTCAGAATTAAGGAATGCTCACCTGTAACCTAAACAAACCAAAGTACAGTTGGCAAGGAGAAAAGTTAGGAGAGAAGTCAAATAGTCAGTAAAATATAGAAACATATGTCAGCAAAACAAGAGGAAGTAGGTTGAATCCTGGGCAGTAGAATATTTACAATGTCCTACTCTTCTGGTGTCTACTGTTTCACACTTGTTATCTAGTAACATGTACCACACTCGTGGCAGAAGACAAAATGAAATGAGGTACTCTATTCCAGCCTTGTTTCTACTCCATAAAGATGTCAGACTGGTAAATGCATATTCCTTTCCTACCTAGGAAAAAACCCACATCTAGGCAACTAGTTAATCATACATTCCTGAATAAAGCAGGCGGTGAAATTGCAGCACAAAAACCAAGTCTCAGCTCCAGCTCCTGATTTGTTTTATTTCTTAAACCTATAACACATCTCAAAATTTTCTCCCAAAATAAGAAAAACTTCAGCTTAGTTGTGTGAATTAAATTAGATTTATCTCTTATGAAGAATAAGCAACACACAGACATCTCATGTTTTTTAAAAAAGGTCTAAGAGTCTCTCAGTTTAAAACAAGAGATGTGATGGTCAAAGGGTTAAGGTAGAAAGCTGAGAGGAAGAAGCTATAAAATATGCTGTGTGGGTCCAGGAACAGAGGAGGTGACAAAACAAGCCCCTTAGGTCATTTAGATCAAAGAACCCTCAGAGAAAAATATTACAAAAATTTGTCCAATAGTAAAACTACCATGGGAATCCTCAAAATTCCAAAAGAGAAAGAGGGATAACACAGTCTCTAAATTAGCCTAGAGAAGAAATGAGGGATGTCAGAAACAAGGGGCTGGGCATCACTGGGCGTAGGGAGAGGACATTCAGGTTATGTGGGAGAATGTGGGAAAGAGTAGTGAGCTTGATGAGGCGTCACCTTAGGAAGAAAGACTGCCAAAGTATAATTCTAGAAAGCAAATGCCTCAGAAACAACAGATGTGCTTAGAGTCTTCAGAAAGAAAATGAATATACGTGGGAAAATAGAGCCTATGTATTTTGGGTATTCAATTGTCTATTTCTGCAGTCACGTCTCTGGAATTCACAGGCAAGACAAAAAGATGGTAAAAGAATAGGTAAAAAGCCTTTGAAAAACAGTCTGCAGAACTCTAGCAGACTATGCACCATTAAAAGCACAAAAATGTACAAGAATTAAAAATGTAATCTACAAAGCCTGCCTAGGATATAAAGTTTTTTGCATACAAAATAAGTTAAATTCAATAGAGAAAGTGAGTTTGGAGGGCCTAACTCTTCATGCTCAAAAAACTCCAACATCAGAAGTTAGGAACAGTATTTGTGGATGTATAATCCTCTCCCTTCTTCTCAGTAAAAGGGCAACTTTCTTCTTTAATTATAATTCCATGAAATAGTTCAGCTGCATTAGAAGCTAACCCTAAATACTTTATACCATTAGTCACTTTTGATTACACCCAATCCTAAAATTTAGATAAATATGATGGGATTTTTAAAACAAAATGTTTGAGTATATAACATTCTGTTAGAAACAGTAACAACAAATCCTGAATCTCCTTTGGCCAAAAGAGGAAGTTTCTGAAACCTAGTAGGCTCCTGGGAGACTCAGGCCAGCTTGATCTAGGGCTGACCCCACCAGGTTCCCATGTCATCCCCCAGATCCCACAGCCCCAGGTTTGCTCTGTGTAAAACTCACTTCCCTTGTGGTGAAAAAATAGCTATAGACCCTTCAAGTCTGTCAACCCCACACCATCAAATCGCGTGAAAAGAACAGGGCCTTCACCAGCACCTCTTACTATAAAGAGGAACTTATTTCCTAGGACCTTCAGCAAGACCACGTTTTTTCCTGTCACCAGTTTACCTAGGTTATGCTCAAATTCCATCCATTGCTCTGACTTCTACTCCCTGACTGGCTTTTCCTCAAAACACTATTTTAGTAAATCGGCTGGACATGAATCCTTGAATCATCAGCGGCTTCTAAGGCAGATGGTCCTTGAAATCCCTACTCTTCCCACCCACCCCGCTTCCTCCTGTGGCTGCAAAGGCCAGCTCTGGCCACTGTGAAGGAGCCACTTGCTTACTAATTTCTTCTGTACTGCTTTTCCCATTAGCCTCCCAACCACTTTCCCTGCTTCTCTCCAACAGCCTCACTGTGTTCTCCACAAACACCCCACTAATCTGCCTTGTAGCTGCCCTGGTTTCCTGCTACCTTCTTGCTTCAGCCGAAACCTGATTCTTTTCCAAAAGCACCATTTCCCTTTTTCCTTC